CCCGCGCCCGTCCTAGCTGGCCCCCGCGTCCGTCTCACCGGCCCCTCCGCCCGTCCTACTGGCCCCCGCGCCCGTCCTAGCCGGCCCCGCGCCCGCCCTAGCTGGTCCCGCGCCCGTCCTCGTTGGCCCCGCGCCCGTCCTAGCTGGCCCCCGCACCCGTCCCACCGGCCCCTGCGCCCGACCTACTGGCCCCCGCGCCCATACTGCCGACCCCTGCGCGAGCCCTGCCCATTGCCCTCCGGCCCCGTGCTCACCTTCCTGCCGGCCTGCCGCCATTCTGTGTGCGGCCCGCTCTTTGGATACTACACTGCACCCTCCCTGGTACGGTTCTGCATCCCCCTGCACTGTTCCTGATGGCGGGGGAGCTTCGCTTCGACGCTGAAGGCCAGCCTCTGGAGTTCGAGGCCTGGCTAGCCGACCTCCGCCGCCACCTCACTGGCCAGCGGCAGGATGGCCACCCGCTTTCGGTACACCTTGACAGTACGCTTCCCTGTCCAGAACCCCTTGCTGTGCTGCCAGCTTACCCCACACCTACTGAGCGTGAGTCTGCTGCAGCTGCTGCCCTTGCTCGCTCTGTCTGGCTTTCCCGTAACGCTGTCGCACAGCTTGCTATTAGCAATGCCCTTCCCCCGTCTGAGCGCCCGCGCTTTCGGTCTATCACCACCGCCCAGGCTTTCTTAGATGCTGTTATCAAGCGCTATTCCACCCCGCCTGCTGCCTCGGTGGATCGCCTGATCCTCCCTCTCCTCTTCCCTGACCTAGCGTCGTTCCCCACGGTTGCTGATCTAGCTGCCCACCTCCGCACGATAGATGAGACCTGGCGCATTGCCTGCACTGACGCACAGCTTAGAGCCCACCAGCCGCCTCTTACCTCTACCCTCTACCTGCTTGCCACCCGCCTCCCTGACCGCCTTGCCGCTGCTCGTGACCGCTTCCTTAGCATTCACCCCGGTGACCTCACCCTGACTGTTATCGCGACCCGCCACCGCTCTATCGCCCAGGCGAGCGGTACTGCGCCGGTCCCTATCTTTCAGGGTTGTGCCCCCGCTCAGTGCACCTTCTCCGATGGTTCTGCAGCTGTGGCTGAGACCGCCGCTGCAGTGCAGTTCCGTCCGGGGAAGGAACGCTACCCCAAGTCTGGGCGCGGCAGCGATGCCAAGGATGAGGAGGCCAAGGAAGCCCGGGTAGAGAGGCGTGAGGGAAGGTGTTTGTTGCTGAACGCCAATGAGCTCCTCATGGGAGTCCTCGATGAAGGGAAGGGAGGGTGGGGGTGGCGTTGGCCAACCCCATGGATGGCCTATGAGTGGGCCATGAGAGCGAGTGTGCATGCGTGGGAGGATGAACGGAGAGGTGGTGCAGCGATGCCGATGAGGTTGCTGCTGTGGTTGCTGCTGCTCCGGCTGCTGCTGCTGCTGCTGTTGCTGCTGCACCTCCTGCTGCGGCTGTTGTTGCTGCACTGCCTGTGGTTGCTGCTGCTGCTGCTGCATCTCCTCCTGCTGCTGATGCTGCTGCTGCTACTGCTGCCGCTGCTGCTGCTGCTGCCGCTGCTGCTCCATCCGCTGCTGCTGCAGCTGCTGCTGCACCTTCTGCTGCTGCTGGTGCTGGTGCGATGAGGCAGAGTGAGCAGGGGAGTCAGGGACAGCTGGGTCGTAAATGTCACCTGAGGAAGGAGGAGGGGGAGGAGCAGGATTTGGAGGAAGGAGGGGAGCCTGGGGAAGGAGTGGGGGAATGACAGCATCAGCCCAGGTGAGGGGGCGGGAGAGAGGAGGAAGTGGGTCGGAAGGCGGAACAGAATGATAGAACGGGATGCTCTCATCGAACACCACGTCACGGCTCTGTAGGAGGCGGCCTGAGGACGGGTGAAGGAAGAGGTAACCAGGGACAGAGCGAGCGTGGTCAAGGTAGACACACTCAATGGCCTTGGAGGCAAGCTTTCCTGCCTGCCTAGAGCGGTCAGGTGGGGGGATGAGGACATATGCCTTGCAACCCCAGATACAGAGAATGGCAGCATCTGGCTTGGTGCTAGCCCAGAGCTCTGTGGGAGTGACGGACTGGCGTTGAGGATGTGGGTAAAGATTAGTGAGGAGAGCAGCATGGACAAGGGCATAGCCCCAAAGAGAAGGGGGCGTGGAGGCATGAGTGAGGAGGCAGCGGGCCGTCTTGGTGATGTCACGAATGCGACTCTCAGCAACACCGTTCTGCTGAGGGGAGTGGGGAAGGGTATGAGTCTGCTGGATGCCATGGGTTGAGCAGTAGGAGGAGAGGGTGCGGTTGAGAAACTCACCACCGCCGTCGGAATGGAGGCGGCGGATGGGGCGACCAAAGTGGACACGGCACTGCTCGGCCCAGGTAACGATGACAGTAGGGGCCTCGGCCTTTGTGTGGAAAAGGAACACCGAGGAGTACCTGCTGTGGTCGTCGACTAGGACAAGCATGTACCGGTGCCCTTGGCGGGAAGGGGAAGGGTTAGGGCCCCAGAGGTCCATGTGGACGAGGTCAAGGGGGGCAGCAGCAAAGGAAGGATGACTGAGGTGAGGTTGTTTTTTGAGCTTTCCATGAATGCATGTGGCGCATGGGGGAGCGGAAGAGGACGGGAGGGGAGGAAGAGTGGGGGGAAGACCGTCAAGCAAGCGGGAGGAGACGGCTTTACGAAGTGTGGAAAAGTTCATATGACTAAGGCGATGGTGGATGAGAACAGCGGGGTGGGACAGTGCGCGACAAGAGCATGGGGGGGAGGTGGAGTTGGAGGAAGGTGGCTCTAGAGGGAGGGGAGAGGGGAGAGTGGAGGTGCCTGCACGAGTGGTCACGTGGCATGAGGAGGGGCGCGGTGTGCTGAGGATGTACTGACGAGAGCGAGGGCAAAGTGGGAGGCGATGAAGGAGGCGACGAGTGGGGCCGTGGAGGAGGTCACAGTAGGTGGCAGAGGCGGGGAAGAGGGTAGTGATGCCAGCCTGTTGGAGTTCACGGATGGAGAGCAGGTTATGACGAAGGGAGGGAATGTGGAGACCAGTGACCACTCCGGAGGGGAAGGGGGGGCAGGGGAGGGTGGAGAGATGAGTGCAAGGGATGGAGAAGCTGGAATCAGCGCCATGAACGTTGGTGGGGAAAGGGAGGGAGGTGAGGGTGCCGGCGTCTTTGAGTGCAGTTTCAGTGGCACCACTATCGAGAACAAAGTCTATCGTGGGCGAGGAGGGAGCTGAAGACATGGGGTACTGGAAATCACTGGCATTAAAAACAGAGGGATACATGGAAGTGGAAGCAGGGGAAGAACGCATGAGCTCGCCTAGAAAGCTGGAGTGGGAGGTGGGAGCACTAGGGGAAGGAGAGCCCCAAAGGGGAAAGCCAGGAGGACCTGTTGTGGCTGTGGCAGCCATGGTGACGGTGCCAAAGCCAAGCTGCTGCTGCTGCCATGCAGATGCTGCGGCTGCGGCTCCTGCAGCTGCGGCTGCAGCCTGACCACCAGAGCCCCACTCCTGCGGCAGCTGCAGCTGCTGGTGCAGCTGCAGCTGCTGGAAGCGGCGAAACTGCTGCAGCTCCTGGGGAGTTATGGGGTCAGCGATAGAGGAGGAGTAGGAGGCGAGCTGACGATGAGAGGGGAGGAAAAACGGAAGAGTTTTGACATCCTGGAGAGAGGGGCGGGGATCCATGGCAGACCAGCGTGGGGTGTGCCAGTGTTGCCGCGCTCGAACCAGGCGTCATCATACGCTTTGAAGCAGGTCGTTGGGGGATGGTTGGTTTGGGTGCAGCGCTCACCGCCCTGGGACCAAAACGGCGAAGATAGGAACATGGGGGGAGAGTGCCCGGGCGGCCACCACGGCTACCAGATGAGCCACCACTGCCACCACCACCATCACTGCTGCCACCCTCGACCCCGCAACCACCGCCGCCGGCTCCGTTGCCCCCACAACCGCCACCTCCACCCCCTCCCTAAGGGTTGGTGCGGCCGCCACGTGGGCGCCCTCCACGACGCGGCTGTGCAACTGCAAGCTGGGGGTTTGGGGACTCGGTGGAGTTCAAGCCGGAGGGGGGGGTTGAGAGAAGGCGGGCCTCAGCATCAATGATCCACTGGACCACAGTGTCAAGGGAGGCACGGGGCTGAGCCTCAGTGAAGGCGATGACGCGCACTTCATACTGAGGGGAGAGGCCTTCGAGGAGACGGTAGATCTGGAGGTTGGAGGGGAGAGTAGTCTGGCGAGCCTCTAGGCGGGAGGCAAGGTCCAGGAGACGGCTGGTGTAGTCAACGGCGCCAGCACTATTTTCGATCGTGATGCTGAAGTATTCCTTGAAGAGCTGTCCGACAGCGTCGAAGTCGGTGCGTTCGAACATCACCTCAAGCTCGAGCCAGATCTGGCGGGAGCCGATGCGACGTGCCTGGAAGTTGCGCATGAGCGCAGGCGGGATGGCAAGGAGAAGGGCACCAGTAGCACGGCTGTCCGCCTCGAGCCAAGCGCGACGACGCTTGGCAAATCGCGCAGAGTCAGAGGCATAAGCGGCGGCGGTAGCGGCATGCTGGTTGCGGAGGGTGGCCGACCGCTCGAGTTCCTCCAAAGCGATCAGGTAATCAGTATGGAGCACGAGGAACTCACGACGCTGAGTAACTAAGAGCTGCTCAACCTCAGCGGTGGCAGCGCGAGTGCTGGTGCCAACGGGTACCACGAGGGGCAGAGGTTCCTCGCCGGGATGGGGAATGAGAGGGGGGGGATCGCCAGGGTGAGGCGGCGGGTCCCCAAGGTCACCCTCTGGGAGACCAAGCATGATGTCCAGGAGGCGGAACGGCAGGACATATGCACTGCCGAGGACGCGGTGGAGGCTGCCGACGAAGGAATACCAGTTGGTTGCTGAGTTGTCGGCAGCGCGCACCAAATAATCGAGGGTCGAAACGTCGACAGGAGGGGGAAAGGATGCCATTGGTGACACAGAGTGGGAGGAAGGCGACGGCGGGTGGACCCGCGGTGGCTGGGAGGGAGCGGCGGCGGGTGGACCCGCGGCGGCTCAAAGAGGAGGGGAGGATGGGGATGACTGTAGCTACTGCTGCTGCTCCCACTGCTGCTGCTGCTGCTGCTGCCGCTGCTGCTGCTGCTGCCGCCGCTGCTGCTGCTGCCGCTGCTGCTGCTGCTGCTGCTGCTGCTGCTCCTTCTTCTGCTGCTGCTGCTGATGCTGCTGCTGCTGCTGCTGATGCTGCTGCTGCTGCGTCTGCTGCTCCTTCTGGTGCTGCTGCTACTAGCTGATGGCAGTTAGCTGATGGGGAAAGATGGTAGTTAGCTGATGAAAGTAGGACTTGGTGGAAATTTCAGTAGCACTTCGTGATCACATCCAGGAAAGTGCGCGAACTTCGGAAAGCGATATCCGACAATTCAAGCGGTGAATCAGTCTGCAATTTTACGACGTAGTAGCTGACACCAAGAGCGTTCTTTTGCAAGTCGAATCACTCAATTTTGTCAACTAGCGAGAGAGCTATGGCGTTTGGCGCATTGGGGATGTTTGAAAATCCACCCAACAGAAAACTAGTTGTGAAGGGAAAGAGAGGCGGCGGCTAGGAGTCTAGCAGCGGCGATGGAGGAGACGGCAAAGAGATGCACGTCGGAAGGGGATGGGGCGGAAGCGTTGGGAAGGATCAGGATTGAAAGTTGGCGTGAGCCATTATTGCTCTATACCATGTTAGAAACAGAAATGTTGAGTTTATTGATCAAGCAAAGGCATTACATAGGAAGAGAGAGATGAGCTAGGAAGGGAAGGTTGGAAGGGAAGGGGGGGTTAGGACCAATCACAAGGGAGGGAGGATCCTTCCAAATGTGGTTGACCACAAGTGGGAGGTGGTCCAAGTATGGTGGACCACAAGTGGCTTAGGCAACCCACTTGTGGTGCCCCCATAATTGTGGTCCTTGTGTTTGGGGGCTCCAACCACAATTGGGTTGGATTGACACCCCAACACAGGTGTACACCCAACAAGGGATGTTAACACAATATACACAACTAGCATAGCATGGTATATTCTAACAGAGATGAATTCCTTCGGCACTCACCATGTGCCCTAGGAATTGGACCTTCTTAAGGGCCAATTTGCATTTGGATAATTTGATGTAGAAGCGCTCCCATCAAAGAATTTCGAAGACACGTCACAGGTGTTCAATGTGTTGCTTCATGTCGCGCGATTATATGAGGATGTCATCCAGGTACGCCTCCACACACTCGTCCTGTAGTGGGTGTGAAATGTTGTTCATTTCGGGTTGGAAGGTTGCCCGTGCGTTGGTGAGTCGAACGGCATTACCAAATACTCGTACAATCCAAAACGAGTTTGAAAGGCAGTTTTGTGGATGAAATTGTCTGCCACGAATGACATGCCCTATTCTCTGACCACTCCCTACACTCTTACCATGCCCTAAACTCTCTTACCATGCTCTACTCTCTTGCAATGAACGGCATCGCCGAGCATGCGAATCGGACACCCATGGAGATGGCTGTGAAGGTGCATTGTAGAGTACTAAGCAAAGATTGGCGTGCGGCTTGGTGAGGTGAAGAGTACCGACTTGGAGCATGTGGAGCTGCCCTTGGAGCTAAGTAGCAGCAGCACAATCACAAGGCAATCTCCTCAAATGAATGGTGGAGATGAGGAGCAGGAGGTGCAGCAAGGCGATGAGTGTGCACCATCACTTCCGCCTGGTGCTACAAGTGCTCGCCAGAACCCACCAGAGTCGCAGCGATGCCATGGGAGAATTCAAGTCCCAGCAACAGTGGAGGAAGGATGGGGGAGAAGGAAGATTCAGCCCCCCAATAGGCTTAGCAATGAACGGCTTGGAAAACCAGCCAACTCAACCTTGATTGGTTCGGCTCTCATGCTAGGCGATGATGCGGAAGATGAGAGCGAGGAGTGTGCCTTTGCCTTCTTCTCTCCGATTGAGATGCCGGGGGAGCCTATAAATCCCAGGGAGGGTTGGGAGGGTCCTAATGGGAAGGAGTGGAAGAAGGTCTCAAATAAAGAATTGGGGAGCATAAAAGAGAACGACACTTTTGACTTGGTGAACCTACCTCCGGGGTGTAAGGCGATTTCTTCCAAATAACTCTTCATGGTCAAGACCGGTGCGGACGGCAACATTGAGCACTACAAGAGCAGACTTGTAGCTAAGGGATACCAGCAGCAAGAGAAGAAGGACTGCAATGAAGTATATGCTCTTGCAGTAAAGGGTACAACCCTTCAAACTCTCTTAGCCGCAACGGCCATCAAATGATGGGTGGTGAAGCGATTGGAAATAGTGACGGCCTTCCTCAATGGCGTCTTGGAGGAAGAGACTTTCATGGAGCAGCCAGAGGGGTATAATGAAGGTCATGTAGCTACCCATTATCCCTTTGGGTTCACGTGTGTGAACGGACCAGCGGAGGAGAATGTTGGTGAAAAGGAGAGGCATCGTTTTCACTCCTTCGTGGGCAGCCTCACGTATGTGGCTGTTTATACAAGGTCGGATGCAGCCTTTGCTACTGGGCACCTGGCTAGGGTTGTCCAATGCCCCAATGAAGAGCAGGTAGCATCTGGAGAGAGAGTGGCCAAGTATTATGGCCAAACAGCAACTTTTGGACTGCAAATCTCGGCGGCTGCACAAAGGCATAGAAAAGGTGTGGATGGAGTCAAGTCCGAGAGGCTCTTTCTCACCACCTTCTTTGATGCATCTTGGGCATCAGAACCTGAATATATGACAAGTGTGGGAGGCTTCATCTGCTATGTTGGTGGAGGCCCACTAGCCTGGGAGAGCAAGAAACAAGTGGGTAAAGTATTGAGCTCAGTGGAGTCCGAGTACATGGCACTCTTCCGTGGCATAAGGGAGGTTGTGTGGCAGCAGCGTTTGCTAGCTGAATTGGGGGAGGAGCAGAAAGGACCTACCCCACTCTATTGTGATAGCCAGCGTGCTATTGCATTGGCTGACAACCCAATTCTTCTTGACCTTACCAAGCACATGAAGGTGAAGTGGGATTGGGAGAGGAGAATGTTAACCGCGGGTGAAGAGGAGTTGCACTACGTGAAGATGACGGTTCAGCCAGCTGATATGATGACCAAGAGGCTGGTTGAGCAGCAGCATTGGAAGTGTTGCAAGCTTGCTGGGATGGCTGTGAACTAAGGGGAGCCGATTCTAAGGCCAACAATCCGAGGGGGAGTTTGTTGGTGCAACCCTATGGCTTGTACTTGGCTTGTCGTCCTTGTTCGTGTGTCTGCATGCATGGCATGGAATGACTTGTGAGCCTATGGAATTGCTATCGAATGCTTGTGTGTGTGCTTGAATGGTGTATCACAATGTGGTTTGTGTCGGTCAAGACATTAGCGAGTCTTCACTACTCAAACGGCAAGTCGTAGTTTGAGTGTCGCATGTGTTTTCCTATTTTGTCGACTGTGAATTGTCCATCGCATCGCAGGAGTGTGCAGCAAGCCTTCATCAACTCAAGAAGTATTTATCTTGAAGAGCCAAGGAAAAGAGATGAAGATTTCAAGCTAAAGGGACATGGATCAATATCGACATAGTGAAAATAGTAGTGCAACTTCGTGGAGTGTTACATTTCACTTGGTGTAAGTCCTTTTTGGGTTTGTTTCGAGTCTCTACATGGTTGAGGACTCTGTGGTGGTATACACCAACCTGGAACGCTGCTCTTGGTGTTTGTAGAGGCTGGGAATCATCTCAATCTCGATTATTCTTGCTAAGTTGTACTGCTAAGATTATAGCAGCTGATATACCTTCTGCCAGACAAACCGCCATAGCGGCATCAAATCGTCATGGCTTTTCATGATTCAACCTGCCACTGATAGACGACAGCAACTCGCTCCAGACAAAATTAACAGCTTATAGTTTGAAATGTAGATCAGTTTGGTATCAATATTTGAAGCCGACAAACAGAAATCCGACTATGCACTCTATCTATCATTGCAGGCACATCTAAGCCTAGTGTGATCATCACACGTATGTGGCTAGAGGTTTCAGCCAGCGGGAGGGTGTGGACTTCTTCCATACATTCTCCCCTACCTCAAAGATGACAATGCTTTGGGTGCTCCTCCATGTAGCCGCACAGCGTGACTATGAGCTCAACTCTCTTAACTTCTCCACGGCCTTATTGCAGGGCACCCTTCATGACAAATTTTCCTGCGGTGCCCACCAAGCTTCACCCGGTCTTTCACTCCTGAGACCTAGTGGAGCCCGCACCGCCCTATATAATGTCTGCGCAAGGCACCCCATGGCACGACAAGCTCCACATTACATTCGTGACTCTTCAGTTCTTCCCTTCCTCCGTTGACCCCTCGCTCTTTGTTCGTACTGGTCGGACTTCGTTCTACATACTTGTGTATGTAGACAACCTCATATTTGCTACTCAAGACAGAGTCGCATTGGCCTTCGTGAAGGCCGACTTGCTCAGGCGACATGCCTGTATAGACCTGGAAGACCTGCAATGCTATCTGGGCTTGGAGATCTCTCGTGACCGTGCTGCGTGCATGATCACACTCTCCCAGTCCCATATGGTGCAATAGATCCTCCAGCGGTTCAGCCTTCTGTTCTCTTCAGCACAGCCCACTCCTTTGACTATGGACTACAAGCACTCAGCTCCTGTTCCCGATGAGTAGGTCTGCCTAGTGGTCCATATGCAGAGCTGGTGGGGTGGCTGATGTACTTGATGATGTGCACTCGTCCAGACCTAGCGTACCCTCTTAGTATCCTTGTGTGCTTTGTTGCGACCGGCAGACACCGACCAGAGCACTAGTCAACTGCCAAAAGGGTGCTGCAATTTCTGGCAAGTACATCAGGACTAGGGCTTGTGCTGGGAGGATGGGAGCCAATGGTCATCACTGGACACACAAACGCTTCATGGGCTGACGACTTGGAGACACTCAGCTCCTCACAGAGCTGTTGCTTTCGTCTTACAGCAGGTGCAGTCTCGTGGCAATGCACTAGGTCGTTGTCTGTAGCTCAGTCCAATTGTGAGGCAGAGATATACGCTAGGGCTATGGCCACTCAGGAGCTCCGCTGGCTGACGTTCTTGCTTATCGACTTAGGTGAGCGGCCTAGCTCTGCCCCGGTCCTATTTGCTGATAACAGGACCATGATCCTTCTGTGTCAGGAGACTCGTCTTGAGGGCAGGGCGAAGCACATCCAGTTGCGGTACTTTGTGCTGTGTGAGTTGCAGCAGCGCAACCATGCTGGTGCAGTACAGTTGGCGTCGAGGTCAACACTGCTGATGTCTTCACAAAGGTCCTAGGGCCTTGTAACCATCAGCGGTTCTGTATTCAGTTTGTATCTAAGTGTTATACCCTCTAGAAAATGCACCTAGCTAGGCTATAGTTCATATACACCTAGCAAATACATATATATGAACTCTAACGCACCCCCTAGCCTGGGTATAATGCAATCCAGGGCAGCACTAACTGACGTGCTATAATGCAGGATACATTTATGTGTCTGTGCTGTCGTGTCGGACTCTTGGACTTTTGACAGCTGAGTTGCCGGTTGTTGGGCTGAGAAAAGCCTAGGATCTTTGGCAGAGTCTAAGTCCTTGAGTAGACAGTGTGCTTGATGGCACAACGGAAGTCTGAGTTGAACCCTTGTACTAGCATGTGAGAACAAGTGATTGATTATAGCAAAGGGTTACAAGGTCTTTATAATAATGCAAGAGAATATGAAAGATCTATCTAACTGTCCACTTTGAGGGCTACAATCCCTTTACGACTCGATTATGTGTCCTTGCTCTCGCGCTGACTTCGACTCTTGTACTTCTGACTTCTGGGTTGCAAGGACAACGGTCTGCGACCTTAGCCATTCGCAACCTCTGTAGGATGTCGTCAGCCTGCGTCAACCGTCAGAAGGTACTGTAGCAAGTCTGACTCGTCACTCCTCGATGTTGCTGTACTCGCGTATTCGTATAATCACGCAATACTTCTGAAATGCCGAAGTTCAGTCTTTCTTATTTCCAACACTCCCCTTCATTTCTGGAGTGTTGACCTCGTCGAGGCTGGTGACATGTTGTAGTCCAGTCAGCAGTTGGCAATATTGGAACTTTGCCTTCATCAGCTTCTTGGTCAGGTAATCGGCTGCCGTTTTGCTAGTGGGACAGTAGGCCAGCTGGAGTCCTCCCCCCATGATCTTGACCTTCACGAAGAAGTTGCGAAGTGAGACGTGCTTTGTCCTGTTCGCGAAACCACTTTTGTGAGCGATCTTGATCGCTGATTGGTTGTCGCAGAAGAGGGACCACGCGATTTTCACTTCTTCGAGCAACTCGCGCAGGTAGAGTCCTTCCTTTATAGGCATGCAGAGGGCCACATATTCAGCTTTGACAAATGAGAGAACAATAATTTCTTGCTTTCCCGAGTGCTAAGAGACTGTGCCGATAGGTTCCAAATGGTAGACATAGCCGGTGCGAGAGTGTCGATTATCCTTGTCGCCAGCGTGGTCGGTGTCGATGAAGCCGATTATTTTGGTCTAGGTAGTGGCGTGCTTGTGGTAGGTGAGGCCAATAGTTGGGGTAGAGATGAAATAGAGGAGCGCGCAGTTGAGTTCCTCCAGATTTCCCCCTTCAGGCCGCTGATGGTATGTAGTAGCGAGCTGACTAGCCGAATAGGATAGTTCCGGGAGACAGGTGATGGCGGTGAACAGCAAACAGCCGAGCTTCTGCTGGTACTCCTGGATGCCTGCGGGCGTGAGTAAGCTAGAAGCCGCGGCCAGCATGGGTGAGGCGTAGAGATAAGGCGTGGAAATGGAGGAGGGAGTGATAGCGAAGCGGCTGACGATGTTCTTGGCATACTTAGATGCGGAGAGATGGATAGGGTCGGGGCCATCTTCGATCCTGAGGCTGAGGTAACACGTCATGGTCGGCGAGACGGTGAGCGTTAGGTCCAGCTGTAGCTCCCCTTCGAACCAGGTGAGGATGGTGGTGGTGGAGCCGATGTAAAGCAGATCGTCGACGTAGACTATCAGCAGGACGTAGTCGCCGCTGCGGGAGAGATGGTACATCCCCTGGTCATGCGGCAGTTGGGCGAATCCCATGCGAGTCAGGATTCCATGGAGATACCGGTGCCACAGTCGCGGAGCCTGCTTGATCCCGTAAAGGGATTTAATGAGCTAGCAGACGATGGTGGGTTCGTCGACATACGCGTTGTAATGTTTCTCAGTGTCGAGGTGTAGACCCCATTGTGCTCGCTGGGAAAAACTCCCAGCTCATGATGTGTGCAGTCGGTACTGTACCATGCAGCCAAGAAGTCGCAAAAGTTTTGCGATGCCCTGTTTCCCCGTCTACACCGAGTGCGGTGATGCGTTGTTTGGCAAGGAGCTAGTTGACAGAAGATTCTGCAGCATTACAGCAGGGTCCATCGCCTATGGCCACTGTGATTCAGGCAGTCGCATGCAACGTAGCAGCTTTCGCATGATGTTTTGCAGCGTCCTGTTCATCCTTGCTGCTACACCTTCTGTGGATGAGCGTAGGGGAGGGTTAAGAGTCCCTTGATTCCCGTCTCGGCTAGGTAGTCCTTGAAGCGTTGTTACTGGTATTCCATCGCCTCGTCTGTTTGAAAACTTTTCAGTTTTGCGTCGCTTTCCCTCTCCGCCACAGCAAGCCATGCGAAGAGCGCTGAGAAAGCGAGATCTCGCAATGGTGGGTTAGTTGCCAAGTATATCGAATTGCGGCGTCGACGAAGGTTATGACGAAGTTCAGGTTCGCCCTGCTGACTTCGTGGGAGGTGAGTCGGGTGTGCAGGAGTCCGTTCGCGCCATGCAATTGACGACATTCCGTGTTTCTTGCGCAGGTCGTGGCGTCGGTGCTGGTGGACATTGCTGAGTTGAGGCAACGTGACTCCTGAACGGACGAATCGGTCGAGGCTGATACTGCTGTTGCTGCTGCCTGGGACAGTTGAAGTGCGAGTGTCCCGAAGTCCGACAGAGCGAACTTTTTTCTTCTTTTTCTTCTTCTTCTTCTTCTTCTTCTTCTTCTTCTTCTTCTTCTTCTTCTTCTTCTTCTTCTTCTTCTTTGGAGGATGATACATTATGGACAATGCATGCACCTATAGTCGTAACTACTTCTAGAGGGGTCTAGGCAAATGGTACTGTACCAGCCCCTCAATAATGTGCTATGGAGGTTTATAGTGTGTATGTGGATTGGCCTAGATTGATTGGAACCCCTTGCTCCATGATACCAGCCTCTTCCTATTGGCACAAATACAGCGGAGCACTGCTGCCTCATCAAGTGCCAAGTGTCTCCAATCACCCCCTTATCTCTTCTTCTTCAGCCTTCCTACCCAGATCTTGATTCCATTGTAATTCCTCATATGCAGCTGGAAAGCTTTTGCAATTCCCCCCCTCATCACCCTCCTCTAATGAAATTCCTTCTGCCGAAATACCGCCCCGCACCTCTCATTCCATGTATGATGAAATGCAATAGCCGTGATTGTCAGCTCCGAGAAACCTGACTCTGTACACCCCTCTTGGAATAGTAGTTCTTCCAGTGAGTTCACAGTTCAGGTAGGATTCATACGCCGGATTGCCGATAGGAGTGCACTGATGACAGGCTGGATTGCCTGGCATTTAAATAGGCAGTGCGCAATGGATTCATCATTGCGGCAGTGGGGACAGGTGGCATTGCTTCCTTTGAAAGCCAGCCTGCCACCCACTTGGAGACTCATGCTGTGAATTCGCAGCATGACGTCTCTCGCTCGTTGCGGAAGGACACGGGAATCCCTTCTCTGGATGACCTTCTCCCAATCCACCTTCTTCCCCTAGCTCATCTCCCACGTTTGCTGCTGTCTCGGCTGCTTTGTTGTAACTGCTAGTGCTTGTCTCAGCAACTTCAGCGGAGCCACTTTTCCACCATCACATATCGACAAAGATAGTAAGCGAGTACGCGGGTGACCTAAAGGACCAACCATTGCACCACTGTCCATCTTCATCGGAGTGACCGTACCGATAGCGAGTCTCGTTCTTCCTGGAGAAGTCGCCGTAGGGATATAGAAACGACTATCAGGAAGAACCAGGCTACCTACCAGCTTCTCCCCATCCACCCTGTCTACTCTCCAATAGTTGAAACCGCCATCTCTATGGTTGCGGGTCCGTACTATTGCTGTGTGCTGGAGGATCTCCGTTGCTGTAACAGGGGCCAGTAAGAGCTGTTTCCAGTGAGCAGGTGCTGCCTCGTATGCCTTTAGTACCATCATCGCCGCTGTGGTTGTACCCAACTCCGCTGCAAGTGTCGCGTGGTCTTCCAAGATTCTGCTCCCGTCCCCATGTTTCCTGGATTAGATCCCCCATCACCACTCCACAAATCCCGTCTGCTGCTTTCTGGTTTCCAAGAAGGCTTTCAGCCCGGGATCTTATATTCCTGTTAAAAGACAGCTGCTCATTCTCTTCCTCCCATCTCGAAGGGACTCCCGGAATCACAGATAGCGGGGACTTTATGAACACCTCCGTGTCCGCCCTCCATCTCTGACTACTCCTGGCCCAGCGTTTCAACAGGTCTGGATGGGCGAACAGCAATGCAGCCCCCAGTGGGAGGTTAGCTGCCTCTTGCGCCAACCACTCCTTCATCCGGTTCCGCTCCAGTAACATGAACGCTACGCTGCGCACCGCCAGGCTGTCCACTCTCGCCTTCGGATCAATGACCTCCAAACCCCCATCTCTCCTACCTGTGCAGACCAGCTGATAGTTCCAGAGAATAAATAGGATGTCCATCGATACCTTCCCTCCTGAAATAAAATCATGCACCAGTTTCCTGATCCGCTTCTAGGTGCCAGCCGGTGGCGGGTAAACTTGCACTTGGAGGATAAGTATTGGCATGACATATTGATTGAGGATGGTGACTCTCACCGACGTGGTTAGGTGCAAACCTTCCCACATACCCAATGCCGCTTGTGCTTTCCCCAGTGCCATCTCCCAAGACGGTTCCACATCACCATTGAGTGGAGAACATCTTTGACCACTATGATCTGCTGGAGGTGATGGAAGGAACGGAGAAGCGCCCCGAGAACAACCCGGAGAAGAGCCCGTGGGTGCGGAAGAGCGCACAAGGCTATCTTCTACTTGGGCAAGCGTTGGGGAGCAGCCAAATCCATCACATCAAGCCTTTTCAGCGTGAACCAGCAAAGGGACCAAAGGCATGGGCTGCTCTCAAGGGTGTACACGCTCCTGCAACAGCGGCGGTGGCTGTGGTTTTGGAGCGGCAAATGGCGGCACTTTGAATTGACGAAGGGGTGTCCTATGTGGAGTGGATTGGAAGGAAGCCGAAGGTGGATATGCTTCGGGTGTTCGGGTGCATGTGCATGGCACTTGTGCCTAAGAAACTTCGGCACAACAAGCTTGATGCCAAGGCAACATGGGCCGTGCACCTCGGCATGGCTCAAAACAGCAAGGGATGGCTTCTTTGGGACCCATTTACCAAGAAGTTCTTGGTGAGCAGAGATTGCAAGTTCATGGAGAACTTACCGTACAAGGAGTGGAAGGCGGAGAACCAAGCGAAGTTCAGTGTGCGACTTTGAGAGGTGAAGAGTACCGGCTTGGAGCATGTGGAGCTGCCCTTGGAGCTGAGTAGCAGCATGGTGATGAGCGTGCACCGTCACTTCCGCCTCGTGCTACAAGTGCTCGCGGGAACCGACCAAATATGCAGCAACCCCATGAGAGCATTCAAGTCCCTGCAGCAGAGGAGGAAGGAAGGGGGAGAAGGAAGACTCAGCCCCCCAATAGGCTGGGCTATGATCGACTTGGAAGACCAGCCAACACAACCTTGACCGGTTCGGCTCTCATGCTAGGCGATGACGCGGAAGTTGACAGCGAGGAGTACGCTTTTGCCTTCTTCTCTCCGGTGGAGATGACGGGGGAGCCTACAAATCCCAAGGAGGCTTGGGAGGGTCCTAATGGGAAGGAGTGGAAGAAGGCCTTAGATGAAGAAATGGGGAGAATCATAGAGATCGACACGTTTGATTTGGTGAACCTACCTACGGGGCCGAAGGCGATCTCTTCGAAGTGCCTCTTCAAGCGCAAGACCGATGTCGACGGCAACATTGAGAGCTACAAGAGCAGACTTGTAGCCAAGGGGTACCAGCAGCAGGAGAAGAAGGACTACAATAAAGTATATGCTCCTGTGGTGAAGGGTATTACCCTTCGAACTCTCATGTGGCCACTCCTCTACCCTCGGGTTTCAAGTGTGTGAAAGAACTAGCGGAGGAAAGTATTGGTGAAGAGGAGAGGCGCCGTTTTCACTCCTTGGTAGGCAGCCTCATGTAGACGGCTGTTCACACAAGGCTGGATGCAGCCTTTGCTACTGGGCAGCTGGCTAGGGTTGTCCAATGCCCTAATGAAGAGCAGGTAGCAGCTGGAGAGAGGGTGGCCAAGTACCTTGGCCAAACAGCAACTGTTGGACTGCAATACTCCGCGGCGGCACAAAGGCGTCAAAAGGGTGCGGATGGAGTCGAACCCGAGAGGCTCTTTCTAACCGCCTTCTCTGAGGCATCTTGGGAGTCAGAACCAGAGGATATGACAAGTGTGGGAGGCTTCATCTGCTATGTTGGTGGAGGCCCAACAGCTTGGGAGAGCAAGAAACAAGTGGACCAAGCATTGAGCTCGGTGGAGTCTCAGTACATGGCACTCTTCCGTGCCATAAGAGAGGTTGTGTGGCAGCGGCGTTTGCTAGCTGAATTGGGGGAGGAGCAGCAAGGACCTACCCCACTCTATTGTGATAGCCAGGGTGCTATTGCATTGGCTAAAAACCCCGTACTTCATGGCCTTACCAAGCACATGAAGGTGAAGTGGCATTGGTTGAGAAGTATGGTAACCTCGGGTGAAGTGGAGTTACACTATGTGAAGGCGACGGCGCAGCCAGCTGACATGATGACCAAGAGGCTGGTTGAGCAGTAGCATTGGAAGTGTTGCAAGCTTGCTGGGATGGCTGTAAACTAAGGAGAGCAAATTCAAAGGCCAGCAATCCGAGGGGGGTTTTGTTGGTGCAACCCTAAGGCTTGCACTCGGCTTGTCGTCCTTGTTCGTGTGTGTGCATGCATGGCATGGAATGATTTTTGAGTCTATGTCATTGCTATCTAGTGCTTGTGTATGTGCTTGAATGGTGTATCACAATGTGGTTTGTGTTGGTCAAGACATTAGCGAGTTTTTACAACTTGCATGTCAAGTCATAGTTTGCGCGTCGCATGTGTTTTTTTTTTGTTTTTTTTTGTGAAGTGTCCATTGCGTCGCAGGTGAGTACAGCAAGCCCTTATCAACTCAACAAGATTTCATCTTGCAGAACCAAGACCAAGATCTCAAGATTTTAAGCCCAAGGGATGCGGATGAATATTACAATACTGAAAATAGTACTGCTACTTCATGTAGTGTTACATTTCACTAGGTGTAGCCCCTTGTTGGGTTTGTTTTGAATCTCTTCGTGGTTGGCGACTCCCTGGTGGTGTACCACCAACGTGGAACTCGGCTCTTGGGGTATGTAGAGGCTGGGAACCATCTCAATCTCGATTCTTCTTGCTAAGTTAGTACTTTTAGGACTATAATGGCTGCGATATCTCCTGCTAGCCAAACCGCCATAGTGTTGTCAAATCTTCATGGAATTTCATGATTCAACTTCCTGCTGATAGGCGAAAGCAACGCGTTCCAAAGAGAATTTACATATCACCATTTATTTCACAGATCACATCGCTATCAATATTTGAAGCTGTCTGACGGAAATTCGATTGTGCACTCTATCTCTCATTTTTGGCACATCTGAGCCTATTGTGATTATAACAAATCCACTGAAGCTATCGCATGGAGAGGTCTGGCAGTGTCTTCAAATATTCCAGGCTGTAGTGGTCAATGTGGATAGTCATTTTCCGTCCTTCGAGATAGCATCTCCACGTTTCAAATGCGATGACAATAACAAGGGCCCCTTTGTCGTGTATCAGGTAATTGAGTTCTGCCTTTTGTGAATTTTCATTGAGGTAGGCGATAGGTTGAAGCCCATTCCCCTAGTCTTGTACCAAGACTGCTTGCATTGCCTGGTCACTGGCGACAGCTTCGATAAAGTAGACGCGTTGAGGATCTGGCAAGATGCGTACTAGTGCGGACATAAGTGCATGTTTCAAGTGCTCCACCGCTTCTTGATGATTCGGTTCCCATTTCTAGGCCATGTTCTTCTTCAGCATATTCGTAAGTGGTGCGGTGATTTTCGCATATTGTGGCAAGAACTAGTTGTAATAATTGGCAAAGCCTATAAACTGTTGCAACTCCTTCATGTTCTCGAGCATCTTCCTCGTGCGTACAGCTTCGATCTTCTCTGGGTCGACATTGTTAGAAACAGAAATGTTGAGTTTATTGATCAAGCAAAGGCATTACATAGGAAGAGAGAGATGAGCTGTCATCGTTGAACTTGTCAAGGCCAAACACTCTAGGCTCATCCCTAGAGGGGCCAAAGCTAGGTTGCACAGGAGCAATGAGTGGATCTTGGTGTTGGCCTTGTACTTGGGCATCTTCTCTTCCTCCAGGACCTCTGCCATCTCCTTTCCCTGATCTAGGCATGGTCTGAATGCCTCCAAGGGGCTCTGATACCACTTGTTATAATCACAATAGGCTCAGATGTGCCTAAAATGAGAGATAGAGTGCACAGTCGGATTTTCAACAGACAGCTGCAAATATTGACAGCGATCTGATCTGTGACTTAAATGGTGATCTGTAAATTGGATCTTGATTGTGTTTCTGTTTTCCATCAGCAGCAAGTTGAATCATGAAATTCCATGAAGATTTGACGACGCTATGGTGGTTTGATTGGCAGAAGATATAGCAGCCACTATAGTCTTTGAAGTACAAAATTCGCAAGAAGAATCGAGATTTAGATGGTTTCCAGCCTCTACATACCCCAAGAGCCAAGGTCCACGTTGGTGGCACACCATCACGGAGTCCCCATTCATGAAGGGACTAAAAAAAAACCCAAAAAGAGGCTACACCAAGTGAAATGTAACACTACACGAAATAGCATTACTATTTTCACTATTTTAATTTTTATCCGCGTCCCTAGGGCTTGAAATCTTGAGCTCTTGGTCTTGGTTCTACAAGATAAATTCTTCTTGAGTTGATGAGGGCTTTCTGCACTCACCTGTGATGCAATGGACACTTCACACTGGACAAAAATTGAAAAACACATGCGACGTGCAAACGACGACATGACATGCGAGTTGTAAAAACTCGCTAATGTCTTGACCGACACAAACCACATTGTGATACACCTTTCAACCACATACACAAGCACTAGATAGCAATGACATAGACTCACAAATCATTCCATGCCATGCATGTACACACACGAACAAGGACGATAAGTCAAGTGCAAGCCTTAGAATTGCACAACCATGATTGACTTCCTCGAGACGCACTTCCACTATGACATCGTGTAAAAGCTCGGACACAAAAACAAAGCAGCCGCTCTCAGCTAGCCTACACACATTGCCACTATCCAGGTTGAAGGGATGAATCCATTCCTCAAGGGACTCTTCACACTCGAGTGCATCATCGAACCCGTGATTCCCTTGGCAGAGAAGCGGCATCTACTCCAGTGGGAATTGGCATAGCGTACCGGAAAGGATCCACGAAAATCTAGATACCCAACTACCCACTGTAATAAATAGAGTTGAAATGATTGATTAGGTAAGGAGCCCAAGGCTCTATAAGTACATGGCAAGGTAAGGGAGAATGGATGAAGGGGGAATCGGAGGGAATCCCCATTGGGATCTCCGGAATCTCCAATTGGGTAATTGGAGATTGGGGGGATCACAATTGGGTGAGGATGGGATTTGTGAGTACACCCCAACCCACTAGAACATTCATAACCTAAACTAGGATATAAAAGTACAAATACAAAAGTGGTATTTGCAGTCTATTTCTAACACACCCCCATAGACTGCAAACCCGGTCAAGGAGCATATAGCCCCATGGAACGGAGAAGGCGATGGTGGTCAGCCTTGCCGAGAGCCTTGGTAAAGAGGTCGGCGAGGTTGCAATCTGAGGTGATGTACCGTACCGTCAGCTGGTCACTCTGAACAAGATCTCGGATGAAGAAATGGCGAAGTTCGATGTGCTTGGTGCGAGAGTGGAACACAGGATCCTTGGTGAGGTGAATGGCACTCTGGTTGTCACACCACAGGGTGGGCGACTGCTGGGGGTAGCCTGACTCAGCGAGGAGAAAGGAGAGCCAGCGTGCCTCTTGAGCAGCCATTGTGCCCGCGTAGAGCTCGGCCTCGCAGGACGACAGGGAGACTGCAGAGGACCGAGTGGAGCGCCAGCTGATGACTCCGCTACCAAGGGTGAAGCAGTACCCTTGGGAGGAGCGTCTGTCAGTCTGGTCATCGGCCCATGAGGAGTCTGTGTATCCCTCAAGCTTGACTGGAGAGGTACCACCAAGAGTGAGGATGTGAGACTTGGTGGCTTGTAGATAGCGGAGGACCCTCTTGGCTGCAGACCAATGCGAGGCAGTGTAGCGTCCGGGGGAGACGTACCGAGAGAGGACACTAACCGGGTAAGCCAAGTCTGGTCGAGTGCACATCATGGCATACATGAGTGAACCGACTAGCTCAGGGTACGGGTCCTTGCAGGCGTCAGGAGAAGGAACTGGAGGGGCCGTGAGCTGATGCTGTAGTGGGAGTGGAGTGGAGACAGAGTTACTGGAGTCCATGTCGAACCGCTTGAGAAGGTTGTCGATGTAGGACTCCTGGGAGAGCGTGATCGTGCAAGCCTGGCGGTCACGAGTGATCTCCATCCCCAGGTAGTTCTTGAGGTCACCAAGATCCTTCATGAGAAGGGCGGAGCTGAGAGCAGACTGGACAGCTGCCATGTCGGCTGGATCTCTGGCGGCTAGAATGAAATCCTCGACGTAGACGAGGATGTAGAAGGGCTCGGAGGAGTGACGAACGAAGAGAATGGAATCTGAGGCAGAGGGATGGAAGTCAAGTGCGAGGAGGACTTCCTTCACCTTGTTGTGCCACTCACGAGGAGCCTGCTTGAGGCCATACACTGGGTGCTTCAGCTTCCACACTGTGTTGGCAGGGTAAGTGCCAGGAAACCCCGGTGGGCGTTCCATGTGAACATCCTCCTTGAGCTGGCCTTGGAGAAAGGCGGAGGAGGCGTCCATGGACTTGATCTCGAAGTTGCTGCGAGCGGCTATATCAAGAAGAGCGCGCAGAGTCGGGACCTTGGCCGTGGGCGAGAATGTTTCGAAGAAAGTCGAGCCTTCGCCACGTATCGTGCCTTGAATAGTGGAGTAGCAAGTGAGGCAAGTGCCACTCTGTCAGGAGTAGCAAAGATAGGATCGTCTACATATACTAGAATGTAGAACGGTGTCTAACCCGTACGAACAAACAGAGAGGGGTCAGCAAAGGATGGAAAAAAATGCAGCTCAGCAAGAGTGGTGTGAAGTGTGTCGTGCCACTCACGGGGTGCATGACAAAGGCTGTAGACAGGACGGCGCAGGCTCCACCGTGTCCCAGGTGGGAAGGACCCAAAGAACCCTAGAGGGCGCCGGAGGTACATCTGCTCATGCAAACTACCCTGCAGGAACGCTGTGGAGAAGTCAAGTGAGTGAAGCTTGTAGTCACGTTGCGCAGCTATGTGAAGGACCCGAAGAGAAGTCATCTTCGGGGTCGGGGAGAAGATCTGGAAGAAGTCCACACCCTCACGCTAACTGAAGCCTCTAGCCGCATAACGCGCCTTGAACTTTGGCGGCTCTCCAGGTGTGCGCTTCACCGTGCAGATCCACATGCCATCGACGACGTTCGCCCGATGCGGGGGA